CTAGCTGGTGTTGCTCAGTGGTTGAACATCAACCTATAAAACAGGAGGTCACAGTTCGATTCCCAGTCAGGGCATATACCCAGGTTTTGGGCTTGATTCCAGGTAGAAGGCATGCAGGAGGCAGTTGATCGATGAATGATTCTTTTTAAAATATATATATATATTTTATTGATTTTTTACAGAGAGGAAGGGAGAAGGATAGAGAGAAGGCTGCCCCCCGTGCATCCCCTACTGGAGATGTGCCAGCAACCAAGGTACGTACTCTTGACTGGAATCAAACCTGGGACCTCTCAGTCCTCAGGCCGAGACTCTATCCACTGAGCCAAACCGGTTTCGGCGTTGAGTGATTCTTATCATTGATGTTTCTATCTCTCCCTCTCTCTTCCTTTCTGAAATTAATAAAAATGTGTTTTAAAAAAAAAGGAAAAGAGAGAAAACCAAACATGGGGCTTATGATTGAACACCGAGGAGTGACTTTTTGTAAGGGACTGGAGAGAGGAGGGTATTTATAGAAAGGAAGTAGTGAGAAATGGAGGGTTAATGTTCAGTACTAGAGGGTACAATAAGTGCCGTTTGGGAGATGAGTTTTAATTTGGTGGTTTTAGGCACAAACCAGATTGGGATACATGAGAGTGACAGAGGCTCTCCTTTTTGTTGTTGTTGTTTTCTTCTTTTTCCTTTCCACAAATGCTAGTATTTGTTGGGATTTGGGCTCTAGCTCCTTCATTTCTCTTTCTGGATTGTCAATTGCCCACCGCAGATTTCAATATAAAGGTGAGGAGTACAAGTCTAATGGGGTTAATTTTGGAAGGGATAAATACCTCTTTTTTTTTTTTTTTTTTTTAGGGGGAGGAATGATGTTAAGAAGCAGAGATGAAAAATGACCTCGTTTTTTTCTGGGTAACATGGGAGAAAATCTTATTTAATTAGTTATGAAATGTTTTCTTTTATAGATTAAATGTTTCTCCCCAAATTTGATTTTTTAAAATTTATTTTAGAAAGAGAGGAAGGGAGATAGATGTATTGGTTTGTTGTTCCATTTATGTGTGGATGCATAGCTTGATTCTTGTATGTATGTTGGCTGTTATCGAACTCAAATCTTTGGAATATCTAAACAGTACTGTAACCCAGTGGTCGGCAAACTGCGGATCGAGAGCCACATTCGGCTCTTTGGCCCCTTGAGTGTGGCTCTTCCACAAAATGCCATAGCCTGGACGAGTGTATTTTGAAGAAGTGGTGTTAAAAGAAGTTTAAATTTTAAAAATTTGGCTCTCAAAAGGAATTTCAATCATTGTACTGTTGATATTTGGCTCTGTTGACTAATGAGTTTGCTGACCACTGCGAGCTATCCAGCCAAGGCAAAATTCAGGTATTTAAGAAGTAGATTTGCCCTAATAGTTGGTTTGGCTCAGTGAATAGAGTGTTGGCCTGTGGACCAAAGGGTTCAATTCTGCTCAAGGGCATGTACCTCAGTTACAGGCTCCTACCTGGCCCAGACCCTGGTTGGGTTCATGCAGGAGGCAACCAGTCTATATTTTCTCTCACATTGATATTTCCCTCTCTCTCTTCCACTTTCTCTGAAAATCAATGGGAAATGTCCTCGGGTGAGGATAAATAAATAAATAAATAAATAATAGTTTCAAGGCTATATATGAGGTCAAAGAAAATAATATAAAATCTGTATAAACCCTATTATTGAAAGACATTACTTATAAGGTAATTAAAGTTACTTTTTTTTTTTTTTTTTTTTTTTTTTTTTTTTTTACGTTTCAATTGTATTGAAATGGCTTAGGTAAAATAAAAGGTACAATCTTTTAAAGAGGGACGTTAAAACATTGGAAGTCTGTTACATTATAAGCAACATTGGAAACATAAAATATTTTAGTATATGTGCTGCCGAAGCGAGCACTGGAAACATAAAATATAACTTGTCTAGATGGTAGGAGTTAGGGTATTGTGGCATGAAAGAATAAAGTAGTCCTCTGCCAGTGAAACTAAAGTCATCATATGCTGGGTTAGAGCAGAGATGTGCAAAGTCACCTAAAAGGCAGGCTCACTGGTTTCCAGAATAGGACTAGAATGTAACTCTATGGAAAACAATTACAGGATTTAGTTGATGTTTTCAGAGCATTGCATCCCAAAGCAGCAGAATATACATTATTTTCAAACGCACATGGAACATTTTCTAGGATACACCTCATGATAAGAAACAAGACAAGTCTCAATAAATTTAAGAAAATTGAAATCGTGTCAAGCATCTTCTCCTACCACAATGGTATGAAACTAGAAACCAAATATGAGAAAGAAAAACAAACACATAGAAGTTAAATAACATGTTAATAAATAATGAATGGGTCAACAATGAAATCAAGGAGAGAATAAAAATTTACCTTGAGACAAATGAAAATAGAACACAGGACAAACTCAAATCATTGGGACACAATGAAAGCAGTCCTAAGAGGAAATTCATAGCAATACAGGCCTACCTCAAGAAGCAAGAAAAATTCAAATAAACAATCTACCCTTACACCTAAAGAAACTAGAAAAAGAACAATAAACAGAGCTCAAAGAGAGTAGAAGGAAGGAAATAATAAAGATTAGAGCAGAAATAAAGGACATAGATACTAAAAAAACAATACAAAGAAATCAATGAAACAAAGAGCTCATTCTTTAAAATGATAAACAAGATTAATGAAACTTTACCCAGATTCATCTAAAAATAGAGAGGACTCAAATAAATAAAATCGGAAATGAAAGAGGAGAAGTAACAACCAGCACCACAGACATACAAAGAATTGTAAGAAAATATTATGAACATATGCCAACAAATTGAACAATCTGGACAAACTGGATAAATTCCTAGAAACATACAATTTTCCAAAACTCAATCAGGAAGAATCAGAAAATCTGAACAGCCTGCTTATAACTAAATCTGAACAGCTTGCTTATAACTCCACCGGGGAGGGGGGGAGGGGGCGTGGCCAGTCTGCAAACATCCATCAGCCCCTCTCCCAGGCTGGCCAGGCACCTCAGTGGAGACCTCCACCCTGAAGAGCGTGTGGCTAGCCTGAAAACGGCCCTCAGCCCCTTAACCAGGCTGGCCATGCCCCCCCAGCAGGAACCCTCACACCATGGGGGCGTGGATGCCCTGAAAACTGCCCGAGTCCCTTATCCAGGCTAACACCATCCCCACTGGGGACCCCCACCCTAATGGGGTGTGGCCCCTTGCCCAGGCCACCCCATCCTCCAAGGGAACCCCACCCTGATCCAGACACCCTTCAGGGCAAACCAGCTGACCCCCACCCATGCACTAGGCCTCTCTCTATACTAATAAAAGGGTAATATGCTAATCAGACTGGGAGACCTTCCAGGAGACCTTCTAGACGTTCTTCTGGACAAAGCCATGGTGGCGGGGCTGAGGTAGAGGCGGTTACGGGCCAAGAGGGGAGGGCAGTTATGGGGGATCAGGTCAGGATGGGAAGGCAGTTGTGGGTGAGGCCATTGGGGGGCCAGTTGGGGAAGAACAGGCCATCAGTGGGGGTCAATTGGGGGCAGTCAGGCCAGCAGGCAGAATGGTTAGGGACAATCAGGCAGGCAGGCAGGTGAGTTGTTAGGAACCAGGAGTCCTGGATTGCTAGAAGGATCCTGGATTGGAGAAGGTGCAGTCTGGGCTGAGGGACAACCCCCCCGTGCCAGGCCACTAGTAAAAATATAAGCCAATATCCCTTGGGAACATAGAAGCTAAAATTCTCAATAAAATATTAGCAAACTAGATCCAGCAACACATTAAAAGATCAAGTGTGATTTATTCTGGGGATGCAAGGTTGGTACAATATTCTCAAATCAGTATAAAATTTTAAAAAATGTTTGAGTTAAATTTGTTGAAACATCATATATTGGCATTCTTAGCTTATATCTCAACTAGAGGCTCCTCTCCTAACTAATCATAATAAAACAATCAAATTTCTCAGTTTCTTTTCCCCTTTAAATCCCTTTTCTCTTCTGTACTTATTCTCTTGATAATTTCTTACTCTCTGGCTTCAGTTACTATATGCCGATACTTCCAAGTTTATATTAGTCCAAACTGTTTCTTTTAACACCTACCTACTTGACATCCAAACTTGGATGTCCCATTGTGAACTGAAAATGTATGAGTTCATTCATCATTTTTCCTCTCCAGCGTTCTCAGTTTCAACAAATGGTACCCCATCTACTTAGTGGCTCCTAGTACAAACCTAGGAGTCGTCCCAGACCCTTCTCTCATTAACCCCCATGCATCCAATCATCAAGTTCTATTGATGATTTTTCCAAAAGTTAAAACTTTTGGTTATGAAAAGTTCTAAATGTACTAAAGGGTCTTGGGGTGAGAGGTTCACTATCTTGATGGTGATGTTCTCATGAGTTCATACATACATCAATGTTTATCCAACTGCACACTTTTAAAATGTCTGGTGTATTATATAACAATTGTGCCTCAATAAAGATGTTTAAAAATAAGAAACGGAAAATAACCCCTAATGAAATCAATGATCCCAGGCATTAATCAGCAGTGAATGCCAAAGCAATTAGATACAAGGATAATAGGGATCTTTATAACAGGACATAACTCCCCATATTCCCTAGTCAACCTTAGCTCTCTATTAAGATTGGGACAACCTGAAATCATGTGCCTCTTGACATGATGTAACCTGAAGTATAAAACAACACCTAGATGGTATCCTTGCCCCCCAAAATGTTAACTTTAATCAAATCAAGTTTTCACATCTAACATCCAGTCTACAAGCAAAATTAAGCTGAATTAAGCTGAATGTCACCATGAAGAAGGAATGAACTAAATCCAGAATGTAGAAAATTCTAATTTAAGATTTTAAAAAGATTTCTACTTCTTTGCTTTTATATTTTATATTTTATTCCCTGTATGTGAATTTCTATCACCACGTTAGTTCAAGCTCTCAGGCCCTCTTCCCTAAATTATGTCAATAGTCTCTTCACTGAGAGGGTGGGGCCGCGTTCACCGGCCCGGCCGGCCGTGGGCGATAACTCGGAGCGGGCCGGAGCGGGTGGTGGCTGTCCTGCCCCGACGGTCGCACCATGGCGGAGGAGGAGCTGGAGGCTCTGCGGAAGCAGAGGCTGGCGGAGCTGCAGGCCAAGCACGGGGATCCTGGAGATGCAGCACAACAGGAAGCCAAGCACAGAGAAGCAGAAATGAGAAACAGTATCTTAGCTCAAGTTCTGGACCAGTCAGCCCGGGCCGGGTTAAGCAACTTAGCACTTGTAAAGCCCGAAAAAACTAAAGGAGTAGAGAATTACCTTATACAGATGGCAAGATATGGACAACTAAATGGGAAGGTAACAGAACAAGGTTTAATAGAAATCCTTGAAAAAGTAAGCCAACAAACAGAAAAGAAAACCACAGTTAAATTCAACAGAAGAAAAGTAATGGACTCTGATGAAGATGACGATTATTGAATTTAAGATGCATAGACTCTGGAACTTAATGGAACAATTCCAGGACAGATAATACTTGGCAGTTAAGATCTGATTGAATGTTCGCTTTGTTTATTGTTTATATACTTTTAGAAAAGTAAACTTGTTATGTAAAATAAACAATTTGGGCAAAGTAAAAAAAAAAAAATAGTCTCTTCACTGATCTCCCTTCTAAATCACCTCATGCCTCTCTCCAACCCATTGTCCATAGCGAATAACAGTCTTTTCTTTTTTACACTATAATTTTTAATCTCCAATTTATACAAGGTAGTTATAAAACATGAACTTGGAAAACAGATTAAAATGCTATTCTATATAATAAAAAGCTAATATGCTAAATTAGGCCGGACAGCAGAGTGACCTTCATGAATGACCAGTGGGTGGGGCCACAAGGCAGTAGAAGGGGTTTAGGGAATAATGGGGGCAAAAGGGCACATAATTAATTTCTTTAGTTAATAAAGAAATTTCAAAAATAAATAAAACACATAGATGCTGGTTCTGAAAAATTAACCATGTACCATTAACATAGGAAGAACTACTAGAGTCACAGAACTCTTTAATTTTATTTTTATTTTCTTTTTAATTTCTTTATTGATTAAGGTATTACATATGTGTCCTTATCCCTCCATTGCCCTCACCCCCCTGGTGTCTGTGTCCATTGGTTAGGCTTATGTGGATGCATATAAGTCCTTTGGTTGATCTCTTCCCTTTCCCCCCACCTTCCCCTACCTTCCCTCTGAGGTTTGATGGTCTGATCAATGCTTCTCTGTCTCTGGATCTGTTTTTGTTCATCAGTTTATGTTGTTCATTATATTCCACAAATGAGTGAGGTCACATGATATTTATCTTTCTCCAACTGGCTTATTTCACTTAGCATAATGCTCTCCAGTTCCATCCATGTTGTTACAAATTGTAAGAATTCCTTCTTTTTTACTGCAGCATAGTATTCTATTGTGAGAACTCTTTAACTTTATAATCTTTTATCATTATAATATTAAAATCTTCAGGAATAGATTTCATATTTATGAACTTGTGTTGAACAAAAATTAAACTATGCTAAGTCTCTCCCTCTCACTCCCTCGCAAAAACAAGCTGATAGAGTAAGATTTTTTCCCTTCGTCTTTCCACCCCATGGAAGTGGGAGGTGGGGGTATGGTGCACAGTTTGAGAAGCCTGTAGTGTCCTGCAAAAAGCATGGCCATTGCAAATCAAACCACCTGAAGGACTCACATCTGTTTCTGCTATTTATCACGTGACTGATCTTGGGCCATTAAGTTACTCTTCGAGTTTTTAAAAATGAAGATAATGCTTAATTGGCAAAGTTACTATGAAGGTTAATTAAGGAGTAAAGAGCATGTAAGAGCAGCTGCAGAGAATTAGCTTGATAATCCTAGCTATTACTCTTACATTTGGGCATTTTTATTTTTGATATTTAGCAAGAAAAAAAGTGTTATGTTAATTTTGTTTTTATTTATTTTTATACAAGAAAGACCAGGAGAGGATTCAGTAATAGATAAGAAGTAAGGTGATTCACAATAGCCAAGATGCCCATCGAGGGATAAATGAATAACAAATGGTGTATACATATAATGGAATATTATTCAGCTTCAAAAAGGAAGGAATCTGACACATGCTATAACATCAATCAACCTTGAGGACATTTCATTTCATTATGCTAAGTGAAATAAGCTAGTCACAAAAAGACAAATATTCCATGTACAAGAGATAGGAACAAAAAGTTGGGTTGCCAGGGACAGGGAAGGGGAAAATAATTGTTTAATGGGTATAGAGTTTCAAATTTGAAAGGTTACAAAGTTCTGGAGGTATGTTGCACAGTAATATGAATACACTATTGAACTATAAACTTAAAAATGGGAAAGAACGTAAATTTTATGTTGTTTTTGTTTTTTGTTTTTTACAGTATTCAAAAAAGAAAGACGAAAATAAAAGTGAAAAAAGGAAGGTCTGGAAATTTGGAGGAAAGGCAAGGGTTGTAGTGATATTAAAAAATGAGCTTGCCCTAGGTGGTTTGGCTCAGTGGGCACAGGGTTGGCCTGCAGCTCAAAGGGTCCCAGGCTAGATTCCATTTGAGGGCACATGCCCAAGGTTACAGGCTTGATCCCTAGAAACCAGTCGACCAGCTGCCTCTTGCACACCCCCCACTGGGGATGTGCCCGCAACCCAGGTACATGCCCTTGACCGGAATCGAACCCGTGACCTTTCAGTCCGCAGGTCGAAGCTCTCTCCACTGAGCCAAACCGGTTTTTGGCTCTTCTTTAATTTTGAAGACATAAGAAAAAATGATATTGTTATATCTTATCTGCCCAAATTCATCAAATAAACACTTTTTTTTTTTAAACTTCAAGGCACAGTGCTAAAAAACCAAGAGCCAAAAAAAGCATAAGAATTCTTTTCCTAAAGGAAAAGGAAAGTAAACAATTATTATACAATACAGTATGCAGAATTAAAGAGTATAGCAAGCATGTCAAACTCAAAGGCTAAGATGAGCCAAATAAAAAGGTTTAAGTTTATGTGGCCCGAAAAAAACCAAAGCTTCAATTTTCATAGAAACATAGGTTTATTTCGATAGACATGCTAACTACAAAGGGCTGAAATAAATGAGTAATCGTTAATATAAAATAATAGAACATTTTAATTAAAATTAATATTTTTTCTTGAACATTAACTTACCGGACACTGAATAACTGCATAAATTAATAAGTGCAAAGCAAATAAGCTTATTTTCCTTGTGCTCCAAAAGTGAAATATTTCCTGCTGTGCACACCAAACAAGTCAATCCAAGACTAATGACATGGTAATTGGCTGCTAAAATACTCACTGCTAGTATTAGTGGAGAGAAATGGCTAAGGGAAATGAATACAACAGGATTATAGTAATCAGTCATTAGTGAACATTGTAGTTTGTTATTAGTAATTATGTATAACAGTCCTGGACGGTTTGGTTCAGTGGATAGAGCATCGATCGGCCTGGGGACTGTAGGATCCCGGGTTCGGTTCCTGCTGGGGGCGCATACCCAGATTGTGGGCTTTATCCCCAGTGGGGACCATGCAAGAGGCAGCTGATCCATGATTCTCTCTTATCATTGATGTTTCTATTTCTCTCCCTCTCCCTTCCTCTCTAAAATCAATAAAAGTGTATTTTTAAAAAATTATGTATAACAGGATATTATAAAAATTAAGTTATGAAAGTTTTATTAAAATGTCTCTTACATACTGTTATATTGGCTGGGCCGCAAAAATATTCGTTGTGGGCCAGGAGTTTGACATGCTTGGAGTACAGAGTACATAGTTCAGATTATTATGGTGGAACAGCAAAAACTTTTTGGAATGAGTGGCATCTGAATTGAAAATTCACAATGTCTTCTGAAAAGCTAGCTTTCTTTCTTTTTTCTTCTTTTTTAAATATATTTTATTGATTTTTTACAGAGAGGAATTTTTTTTATGGTTTCGGCTTTTTTTTTTTTTTTTTTTTTTTTTTTTTTTTTTTTAAATAAAAGTATTACAAATGTCTTTCCTCTTTCCCCTGGCTTCTTCCAGAGCCTCATCTTCTCCTCTAGGCCTTCACCACACAATCCTTTGTCCAGGGGTTATGCATATATTCATACAAATTCTTTGGTTGGTCTCTTCCCACCAATCTACCCCTCCCTTCCTGTTGAAATTCCAATCTGTTCCATGCTTTTATCCTCTGGATCATGAAAAGTTTTCATATCATAATCTAACCCTGAGATTTATTAATAGTTATTATGGTAAGAAATAATGAACTTAAAAAAACATCTTTATTGATTTTTTACAGAGAGGAAGAGGGATAGAGAGAAACATAGATGAGAGAAACACTGATCAGTTGCCTCTTGCACACCCCCACCCAGGAGATGCCCACAACCAAGGTACATACCCCTGACCGGAATCGAACCTGAGACCCTTGAGTCCACAGGCTAACGCTCTATCCACTGAGCCAAACCGGTTTTGGCTAAAATAAATTTTCAAAGAGTATTTCTAGAAATAAAAGGAAAGAGGGAAAAAATTAAGGATTTGAAGGAAGACTTCCTCAATTTCTTTATCACTATACTTTCTATTTCTTAAATAAGCTCTGTATTTTCCTACATCTATGCCTATCCACACTATTATTCTAACCTGGATAATCAATCATTATTCCCTTGTATTAAAATATATAGATATGACAAATGGGGTTGATAGAATTATAAAATACTTTTAGGTTAGTAGAGTTGAAAAATGTTTTTCTTCTAGCATCTTAGAAGAAAATAAATTACGTCTGCAAATTAGATTTCTTTTTAAAAAAGGTTTTTTATTGCCTTTTAGAGAAAGAAGAAGGGAAAGGGAGAAATATTTGATCGGCTGCTTCTAGCACATATCCAACTCAGGATTGAGCCTGAAACCCAGGCATGTGCCCTGACTAGGAATTGAACCAGCAACCTTTTGGTGCACAGGAGGATGCCCAACCAACGGAGGCACACCATCCAGGACAAGTTAACTTAGTTTTAATGAAAGAATCAGGGTAGACAGCAGCGCACTCGGAGGTCCCGGATCTGTCTCTTTCTTCAACAGTGTTTGGACGGAACACACCCAGGGACACCGTTCTTCCAGCCTCCTGCCACTCTCCTGCGTCTCATCTAGTCACCACTGTCAGCGCCACCTCAGGGACCAGACGACACACCGGTTTTTTGGTTGTTTTGTTTTTTTTTCTACCTGAAAGCCTCATTACTGAACCACCATGAGCTCCCAAATTCGTCAGAATTATTCCGCTGACGTGGAGGCTTCGGTCAACTGCCTCATCAATCTGTACCTGAAGGCCTCCTACAACTACCTCGGGCTGGGCTACTGGCCCTGCAGGGCGTGGGCCACTTCTTCCGCGAGTTGGCGGAGAAGAAGCGGGAGGGCGAGGAGCGTTTGCTAAAGTTGCAGAACCAGCGAGGCGGCCGCGTTCTCTACCAGCACGTGCAGAAACCGCCCCAGGATGACTGGTCCAAAACTCTGGACGCCATGGAATCTGCCCTGGCCTTGGAGAAGAGCCTGAACCAGGCCCTCCTGGAGCTGCATGCTCTGGCTTCTTCCCGCGCAGACCCTCACGCCTGCGACTTCCTG